TCTATCTAGAACATGTGATACCACTTCTTATTCCCTATCTAGAACATGTGATACCACTTCTTATTCTCTATCTAGAACATGTGATAACACTTCTCATTCTCTATCTAGAACATGTGATATCACTTCTTATTCTATATCTAGAACATGTGATACCACTTCTTATTCTCTATCTAGAACATGTGATATCACTTCTTATTATGTCAAGAACATGTGATACCACTTCTTATTCTCTGTCTAGAACATGTGATATCACTTCTTATTCTGTCAAGAACATGTTTACTTCTGTTATGTAATATGTTGCCATGTATTATCCTAGGTATGTTTTACAATAACTAGTGAATAATTAAACCATGATTCATTTGACATTCATTCTCTATCTTCTATAAAGTCAAAACAAAAGAAATGTCATTTGAGTCATTGCATTGAGGGACCTATCAGCATTGTCTCTTACTGGAATGGTAGGTGGGGGGGGGGGCTAGTGGTTTAACCTAACGTTTTTCCAGCTTTTACCTGACAAGCAGTAGAGTAAGTCACCTATTCGTTCTCATGGGTTTTCTCTGGTTTTCCTCTCACTGGTAAAGACACCTACACACAAGCGAATTATTGAAATAAAATAGAACCATGTGTTAGTCCCATAATGAACTAGTTTGTGTTGAGTTTCGTTAAACCTCTCTCTCTCTCTCTCTCCTCTCTCTCTCTCTCTCTCTCTCTCTTCTGCAGAACAGGCATCTTTTTGCTATGTTTTTCACTTTACCCTCCCATAGCTGACCAATAGCTCTTATCTTACCATCATCCTACATGTACATACTGTAACCAGGTATTACTAAATCTTGTGTATCTACATTGTAGCACTAATTTCTTTCACATTAGTTTAATATCAAATCTTTGTTTAAGAATTTGTAAAAATCATCGAATTTGTACTTGTGTCCAGTTTAAAGCTGCCTGATTAATTTTGATAATGAGTGTCCAATTTACAAGTATTTAATTTCCTGACCACTGTTCAAAAATTAATCATTATACATCAATAATCAATTTGGTTGTTTATTTTATAACAGTGATTGAGAAATTAAACACTTGTAAAATAGACACTCATTATCAAAATTGAATGATCAACTTTAAACTGGACACAAATACAAATTAGATGATTTTGGGGGGATTTTAAATGATTTTTACCAATTTTTAAACAAGGATTTGATATTGAAGAATGTGAAAGAAATTAGTGCTAGATACACAAGATTAAATGATACCTGGTTTACAGTGATAGCTGACCAGTACCCGGTACATGTATATTGGGTGCTGGGTGAAGGTCATGGTAAAATTAAAATTCTCTCTATCATGTAATATGCTACAATTATCGATTAGTCTGTTTATAAAGTGCTGGATTGATCAAGTCTTCTCCAATGCAGTAGTCACTGTTCTCTTGTCTTATCTGTCATTTTGTTGATATGAAACACAGCTCAGGATTTATAATCCAATCAACTTGCAGATAAGAAAATCTATTTTAAAGCACTAACAGGAGGGTTATATTGTAATCTGGTTGTAATGCACGTGGTAGAGGTTTTATAAAATAGATGTATAGGGTATACATGTATATAATCTATGTTTTATTCTCATGTTGATAAACTTATAATTAAATAAAAATACATAAAACTATTGGTGGTACAGTCAGTTTAAAGTGGCTATTTATCTTGGAGAGAGAGAGAGCTTAAGTCCACTGAGTCTTCATAAGCCCTCTGTCTTCATTAGCCCTGGGGGGTGGGGTGGGGGTGGCTGGATGATAAGCGCTAGCGTGCTACATTAGAAGGTCAGTCATTGAGTCAACTGCCATGGGTTTCGACTCCCCTGGCAGTACGTGACAAGGAGTAGGGTCTACTGTCCAACCTCATGTGTTTTCTCTGATTTCCTCCCACTGCTAAAGACCCCTATGCACAAGCAAATTATTGAAATGAAATTGAACCATATGTTAGTACCGGAATGACCTAGTTTGTTTCAAGTGAACATTAAACTCTGTCTCTCTCTCTCATTAGCTCAGTGGGAGTAGGAGGTTAAAGTCGGTTAAACCCTATTTCATTTCGTTACTACATGTATATACACTCCCTCACAGGTTGGCAATACAGCTAACAACCACCTGTAATTAGCCCAGTCGGTGCAGATCAGTAGGATGTTAAACTCCATTTCATTTCCACTTATCACAAACTCAGTCATTTTGAGACTAGCATATTATTTCGATGATTCACTTGTGTGTAACAGTCTTTAACAGTGGGAGGAAAACCTACAAGGTTGGGGGGTTGGATGGGCGAATGGTTAGCACATGCGTGCTGTATCATAAGGCCTGTTATTGAGTCAACTGGCGTGGTTTCGAATCCCCGGTTGTACGTGGCAAGGACTAGGGTAGTCTGTCCAGCCTCGTGGGTTTTCTCTGGGTCCTCCGGTTTCCTCCCACGGCTAAAGATCCATACATGCAAGCGAATTATTGAAATAAAATTAAACCATATGTTAGTCCCGAAATGACCTAGTTTGTGTCGAGTGGACGTTAAACCCCATTTCTTTCTCTCTCACCTACAAGGTTAGGAATCTGGGGCCTTATTCACAAAATTTTAACTAAGATAAAATCCAAATTTTAGTTATTTGATTGGATAATATTAGATTGATTTTTGATCAAAACTGAAGTATCTACTAAAATTTGGATTTTATCTTTAGTTAAGATTTCTTGAATCAGGGCCCAGGGCAATTGTTGAGACCCTGGTATCGAATACATGCCACATGACTCAATGACAGCCCTTATGATTTAAAGTTCATTACACCATTCAACCACCCAACCCTCCTCTGATTAAAGATAGATACAGCCTTGTTATCTGGAATAAATAAATTTACTGCAGGTTAAACCACCCAACCACCCCTGAATAAATTTAAATCTGGAATAAATAAATTTACTGCACACAGGTTATACCAACCCCGCCAGAATAGGTTTATATCTGGAATAAATAAACCTACAGTTAGTCAATAGACCATCTGAATATATTTATATCTGGAATATATATCGGCTGTTAGTCAATAGGAAATTAAAATCTTTGTTTTAGGTTAAAATAAATGTTTAATTGGAGGTTACATACATGTATTTCTATTAGTAGTGGGTCAAACTTGATTTCCTTTTTCAATTTCAACTGGTGGTTGGATTGCAGAATGGTTAGCGTGTGCACGCTATACATGTATCATAAGGTCTGTGTTTGTCTTTGAGTAAACTGGTATGGTTTCGATTCCCCTGTTGTACGTGACAAGGAGTAGGGTCATCTTTCGAACTTGGTTAGTTTTCTCTGGGTCCTCTGGTTTCCTCCCATTGCTAAAGACCCCAACGCGTAAGTGAATTACCCCATCTCTTTCTCTCTCTCTCTCTCTCTCTCTCCCTCTCTCTCTCAATTTCAACTGTTGAGGTTGAGTCTAGAGGTAAAACTGTTAACTGTTATAGTGGATGTTATGATGTTATTGACCTGTGATGAACGAATAGTATTAGTTATACCAGCAATCTAGAAATATACTTCTTATTACTATATAGGTGTAGCTCTACTAATTCAGGTGAACTATGTATACATTGTACCTGTTACTCTAGTGATTTAGTAGACTAATACACATACACCATTAACTCCCTGAACCTACGGTACTTAGTTATACCATGGAGGTTATACCAGTAATATAGAAACAGGCTTCTCATTAGTTGACTATATACATATATACACGTAACTCTGTACTGGTCGTATTGGACTACATCTGTTTTTCATTGAGTAAACACCTGTAGCCATAAGACTGGACGTCACGTGTTACCAGGTAAACATTGAATAGTTGAACCAGATACTTGATTCAATCTAAAATGGTTTTAAGTAGGAATGCATGAAACCTTTAACTTGGGATGGTTGAAACAGATATTTGATTCAATCTAAAATGGTTTTAAATAGGAACACATGAAACCTTTAGCTTGGAATGGTTGAACCAGACAAACGATTCAATCAAAAATGGTTTTAAGACGGAATGTTCATGTATGAACCATTTAACATGGTTATAGGCTTTAAAACTCTTTTATATTAAAGATAACATATGGCCCTGGTTGTTTATAAACAAAATGTCAGCCGTTTGTTTATGTTATCATCAAAAACCAAGATTTTACCTGTTTCTGTTCTTCTCTTACCTTCATTATACATCTCAGTAAAAAACAGAGATGGGGTTTAACTTCCTACTTTTCTACATTGACTCGGCTAATCAAGATGGGCGTACACCATACACGTACCATGTGCTATGAATGAAACATTTCTGGGCAGTGGAACGATTGCCCACTCTTATATCTTGCTATCTAGTGATCTTTTACATGCACACCAATATGTACACGGGAGCATGTTTTTTTTGTCCCATCTGAATGACTATATGTTATCCCTTGCCAGGTTGTCCGCCCTGAACCTCTGACACGTGGGAACCATGCTGCAAAATCCTGGTTAGCTGGACAAAGATACGTGTACAATTTAATTTCAATAATTTGCTTGCATACCTGTGTCTTTGGTAAGTGGTAGGTTGGGCAGGCAACCCTACTCCTGGGATCCATACTAGGTCATTGGACTCAATGACAGACCTTATGATTTAAAGACAACTCAACCACCCAGTTCTCAAAAGAACTGGACCTTTATTATAGATTCTATTTTGTCCAGAGACAAGTTGAGTGTAGGTGAATGAAACTGGTTGCAATAGAATGTGTCTTTATAATAAACTAATTACAATAGAATGTGTCTTTATAATAAACTAATTACAATAGAATGTGTCTTTAATTACAATAAACTAGTCACAATAGAATGTATCTTTATAATAAACTAATTACAATAGAATGTGTCTTTATAATAAAATAATTACAATAGAATGTGTCTTTATAATAAACTAATTACAATAGAATGTGTCTTTACATTGAACTAGTCACAATAGAATGTGTCTTTATAAGAATTGATTATCATTGTTTATTTCAGAGAACAAATATTACGTGTTAAAAATGATGAAAACATTCCGTTTTTATTGGTCGGCAACAAAATGGATCTTGACAACAAACGTCAAGTTAGTTCGGAGGAAGCATCGAGACGTTCTGGAGAATGGAAAGTGAATTATGTCGAAACATCTGCTAAAACTAGGGCTAATGTTGATAAGGTACGTTATATTTCAATTACATATTAGTTAATGAAAGGTGTGTTAACAAGGTTTAGTTTAGAAACAGGTAGATGTTTGTATGGTGTAATAAAGAAGCAGAAACACATAGATATATCCAACTGAATAACACACAGATATATCAGACTCACACTGAATAACACATAGATACATAACATATAGATATGTCAAACTGAATAACACAGAAATACATGTATTAGACTGAATAGCACAAATATATCAGACATACATGTAATAACACACAGTTATATCAAACTGAATTGTACATGCATAAATGAAACATAGATATATATCAAATCACATAATACATTGATACATAACGCATACTACATAGATACATATGATATAAGTGTAATATTGTCTTGTTCTCTATGCCTTTGTAAAGCACACCTGGGCACATTTATATGGCAGTTGTACTCTATAGAAATGTGTATATTGATAATAACAGATATATATAATAATAATAATATTTGTGTCGCGCAACTATTCAATCCACTAGGGAATGCACTAGGTGCTAGAAAATGTTCTCACTTTGGAGTGTTAATGATTTTGACTAAATAACCAAGTTTTCACATTGGATTTAAAAACTGACATAGATACAGCAAACCAAATAACACATAGATACATGACAAATAGATACATGACAAATTGAATGATTATTTTCCGTTAAAAGTAACTAGTCGGGTTAGCCTAGTTTATGTTGCATCATATCAGACCATAAACAGGTTGAATTTAAGACCCAGATATGAATGTGGGGGAGAGTTCACCTGGAGGTATGATATTTATGGAGTGGGGTAAAAACTCGCTTTAAACTCTTAAGCCTATATTTCATCTCCTACCATCAGATTAATTCTGGTGAAACCATACCAATATAACTAGATAAAAGTAAATATTTATTCTTGAATTCGAGTTCTTGTTTATCGTATCAAAATCCTGTAAAAATAACCCCTGGCCACACGCGAGTGTTAATTAAACTAAAACTGTTTAATTCATGTAGACAGGGTATACGTAATCTTTCTAAGACACCTGATACAATTTCTCATTTAAAAGATGAAATGATTAAAGTGCGTACAGCTCTAATTCGATATTAACCATAATACTAAAAGAATTAAATATATATCGGTCGATGTGTATTCATATCAACAAGTCCAACCTCAGGGGTTTTCTCCGGGTCCTACGGTTTCCTCCCACTGCTAAAGACCCCTACGCGCAAGCGAATTATTAAAATGAAATTAAACCATATGTTAGTCCCGAAATGACCTAGTTTGTGTCGAGTGGATGTTAAACCCCATTTCTCTCTCTCTCTCTTATCAACAAGTATATTTCACTATCTACTCATTAAACATACATTATGCAAGATCTAAATCTGCCTATTGCTGATCTTTCTTTAGGCCTGAAATGTTATATAAACTATTAATTAGACATTTATTAACAAAACCAAAACATAATCAACTCTCGATGGCATCGGAAAGACGCAAGATTTTAACTAAATAAGAACGGTTCGCCATTTGAAAATCTAAATTAAAAATGGGAAAGCTAGGTTAAGTCTCCCAATATACTAGTGCCCTGCTTACCACTATGCACACATCTTGTCAAAATTACAAACAGTGATAACTTGGCTCAGAATAAAGTAATTTGAATGAAATTTTCCTATTTTTTAGCTATTATAGCAAGATTGGTCAACTCTTTATCTAAATCTTATATAATGGATCTTTAATTATATATATCAGTCTATATGCATTCATATTTCACTAATGTGCCGGTATGTACTTTGCTACTGGGTTAGTTTAAACAGTTAACTCCCATTTCATTTCGAATTGACATGGTTGTACGTGACAAGGAGTATGGTCGCCTGTCCAACCTCGTGGGTTTTCCCCGGGTCCTCCGGTTTCCTCCCACTGCTACAGACCCCTACACACAAGCTAATTATTGAAATAACTAATTGAACCGTATGTTAGTCCCGAAATGACCTAGTTTGTGTTGAGTGGACGGTAAACCCCATTTCTCTCTCTCTCTCTCTCTCTCTCCCATTTCATTCACGCTTTTAACGTCTATTTTAAGGTCCCAAATGAAAGAGCCATACACCCTTTAGCTAATTATTGTTGTATTTGATATAAATCTATGTACGGTACTAGAATGGAGCTGCCATACACCCTATACCTTATTATATTGTTGTATTTTTGTGTGGTGTTTAAAATATAAGTAATTATAAGTAGAGGAGGGGGAGTGATATAGATAATAGAAGTAGAGGAGGGGGAGATATCTACACCTGTTAATATTATAAGCACATCTCTCTGTGTATCCCAGTCAGTGTGTGTAATACGAGATTAGGCTCCAAATTCACAAAACATTCTCAGACTTAAGGTTAAGAATTTACTGAACTTTCAATCACTTTGATCCAGAAACACAAAACTTTGCACACCGTTCCTTATTGATGTATTTAATACATTAAAACAACGAAACTTAAGTATGTGAATATTTTGTGAACTTTGGGTCTGATCTTTCACTAGTAATTACATCCTATACTTAACTTAAACTAGTTGTAGGCCAATCATTAAAACGTCCATGTTTCTTTCTTATAAAAAAACAACCTGTTTATAATGATGGGTAGTAATGGATTAAAAGTATATATAGTACGATTTTTATCTTGGAATTAGAAAATGTTTTTAGTAGTCTTGTTAACAATAATTTGTATCAGATGTATTTGGTTTGGGTGATGATGATGGAAGCTCACATTAATATTTTTCTTTCAAATGATTCTGGAATAGTTATGGACCAATATTCTATACTCGATTTAATGTTTAAAAAAAACAAACCAAGCAACAGTCGTGTTTTTATGTTAGAATTGACAAGAGGAAACAGTTGTGTTTAGAAAATGGCACGAAACATACACTGTACGTGTATAAAATAGTTATTACTTCTCTCACCTCCTTGTATCAACCACATTTAGATTTTTTTTTCAACACCTGGTTTTATTTCATTCAGGCCAAAAAAATAATACCTGTGTTTACGATTACTTGGCTCTAAAAAACGGAATATCTGAGTAAGGTTGTGGAAAATAAGCTTTATTCAGACTGTTGCAAATACAGAAATTTCTATATCATGTATTTACATATTCAATAGTATATAGGATCTACAATATACATATTCAATAGTATATATAAGGGTGTACAATAGTATATACTATAGGGTATAATTTACATACTCAGTAGTATATAGCATAGGGTATAATTTACATATTCAATAGTATAGATGCAGGGTATAATTTACATATTCAGTACATGTAGTATAAATATAGGATATAATTTACATATTCTCACAGCACACACTGCCTGGTGTATTCATGTCTTAATTAGCTTGGTGAGTTTCAGAATAGTAGGATGTTAAAAATCATTTCACTTCATTAATAAGTGTCCGGTATAAATTATATGTACATTACATACTCTCACTTCAACTTTCTGTAATATTTCAGATATTTTTTGATCTGCTGAAATTGATGAAACTTTATAAAGTGGGTAAACCTCGTACAAAATCTCGTCGTCAGTCAAAATATCTGCCACAACCTCCATCAGATCCAAAACAGAGTGATCAATCAGACGCCAAACCCGATAAACAAAAAAAATCCAAGAAAAAATGCACCGTTTTATAAACTGGTGAAAATACATATTATTATTAATTTAGATATAAATACATCTCAATAAACAGGATTCTTGATTTAAAGGCCCATACAATAAACATGATTTGTGTAAAAGGCCCAAGCAATAAATATACGTGTAAAAAGGCCCACGTAATGAACATGATGTACAACTTAAAGGCCCATGCAATAAGCATATGTGTAATAGGCCCAAGTAATAAACATGATATGTGTAAAAGGCCCATGCAATAAACATATGATTCTCAATTTAAAGGCCCACTCAATAAACATGATATGTGTAAAAAGGCCCACACAATAAACATATGTGTAAAAGGCCCACACATTAAACGTATGAGTCTCGATTTAAAGGCCCACTCAATATACATATGTTTAAAAGCCCCCCCGCAATATACATGATTCTCGATTTAAAGGCCCACTCAATAATTATGATATGTGTAAAAAGGCCCAAGCAATAAACATGATATGTGTAAAAAGGCCCACTCAATAAACATGATACATGTAAAAGGCCCACACAATAAAGATGATATGATTCACAATTTAAAGGACCCCCATTTCTTTAACGTGTAGCTAGATAGTTATGCTGATTATAAAGTACTATTTGTGTGTTTCTCGTAGATTATATGTTTTCATGATTATTTGTTGATATTCTGTGCGGTTCAGATATTCTAAGGTTTTAATAGAAATGTTAACATAAATTTCATAGAAGATTAATGTTTCCTTTTTTTTTAATACTGGCCTATATCTAAGATAGCTTCATGAATTGAAGTTTTTTTAATACTGGCCTGTATCTAAGATAGCTTCATGAATTGAAGATAATAAATAAATTTAATTTATGTCACTTGTGTAATATTATATAGTATATACATGTATCATATTTACGTATATTTATACATGTGATGATTCCTGCACATTTAAACTCGACACTTCGCTGCATTCAGATTATTATTATTATTCGCTCAGTAATAAAGTATATGTGCACTAACCTGTTTTCCCTTAATGCACAGTTGAACACCATAAAGTTTTCTTATATTATACCTTATGTATGATATTTTTAAAAAATTCATAAATAATTTGGAAGAAAATATATAACTTTCGATGTACATATATATCTGCCCACTTTTGATATAGATATAGAATTTTTTCTTTTGTACCCATGTCTGGGGTATTCCCACACTCGTCAGAACTGTTGCAAATTTTCAGGTCCTTTGATCATTTAGTGATGAGACATTGCACTGTAATTGCTAACAAAATGTAGATTTTAAAACTCTCAAAAGTTCACGAAAATGCTACGAATATAGTACCATTATCTAGGTTCAACATTTACCCTTTATTAACATCAAACAAAATTCCCTGCAATAGCACAATCTGTATTTATCTACCATATCAATAAATAAACCTTACACCCCCACTTTATCACACATAATCATAATACAATCATTCTGTTTTTCACAGTTGTCAGATATTACACAGTTGTTATATCCCACACCTACATGTCTGTAATAAACAGATGTATATCCCACACCTACATGCCAATATTACACATGTATATCCCACACCTACATATCTGTAATAAACAGATATATATATATATATATATATCCCACACCTACATGCCAATATTACACAACATGTATCCTGTATATGTATATACATTAGGGGTGATGATTTTCCGTTTCAGAAAATAGCAAATTCCGTTTTAAGTATTTTTAATTCCGTTATTTTCCGTTTCAGAGCTGACCATATTCCGTTTTTTCGAGATAAAATGTTATTTTATGAATAAATGAATAAAACATCTTAAAATGCCTTTTATTACAAAACGGATCATTTTAAACCAATGATAACAAATGTTGAATTGTGAATGACTTGTAATGTTCAATGACTAGTTATTCTTTAAACCTGTTTCCCGAATTAAATAACAGAAAATTACATCTTGTGAGCTCGTTTCATCTTTTTAGCAGACGAAGTCATGTTTCTCAGCTGCTAGGTGTAGTCGCGATTTATCCAGACATCTTCGTAGTTACTACCGTTTCTTCGAGAATAAGGGCTGGATTCACAAGGCTACGGTATATTTCTGATGTCACGTGGTTAATGCGGATAAACACGAGTCACGAGCCCGGCAGTAAAATAAGAAGTAAATGAAACGATTTTTACTTTTATGAAGTGACAGAAGTTTTTTTAAAGACATATATATACATTACAATGTTTAATTCAAGTTAAACTACAGAGTAATTTTATAATGGGATACATGAAAGACGGGTTTTCGTTTCGATTAAAATTATGATTCCTAAATGATGAAATGAAAGTAGCGAAATACTAAAATAGACAGTAACAAAACCACGCGATATCATTCAATATTTCCGATTTTTATGAATAAAAAGATAAAATACTTGGATAACTGCAAAATTATTTTGAGTTTGTGTTTAGTATCAGCAAATATCGGCTTTTCCGTCTTTTTCCGTGTGAGATTTCAAATTCCGTTTTGAGTGGACAATTCCGCGATTTCCGCGTTTTTTCCGCGATCACGGAAAATCATCACCCCTAATACATGTACATGTATCCCAAAAAACCCATGTCTATAATACACAGATAGATATATCCCACCCAATCCCTCCTGCAGATATTATATCCCACCCTCAAGACCCTCCTGCAGATATTACACAACTTGTATATATCCCACCCTCAAGACCCTCCTGCAGATATTACACAACTGGTATATATCCCACCCCAAAACATGTATACAATGTATATCAAATCTCTCATGAGATAATGCACAAATGTGTAATGCACAAATGTGTATATCCCTCACACAAATTAAACCAGCTCTATTTCACTATGTATATCCCTCACACAAATAAATTAAAACCTACTTTGTTTCAATATGTGTACATGTATATCCCTCACACAAATAATAAAACCAGCTCTTTTGCAATATTTGCTCTTTTTATGTGAATAACGACATGGCCTATTAATTTTGAAATGTAAAGAGTAATATTGTTTTACATCTAAAACATTTTTTTTTTATATAGTGTTTAAAGTTATTTTTTTATTTAATGTTTTTACATGATGTATTTTATTTACACCCATGATACCATAACGAGTCAGAAGTCACAAGAATTGAAATATGGTCGTATATTGTCGTCGTCCTTGCTCGTCCGTTCATCCAGTGTCCACAATTGCTTCGGTATGCTCTACAGACTAAAGTTAATATCCTTTTAACTTTAAATTTATACAAAGTTTATAAGGTCATGAGACAAAGAATCGTATTGATTTTCAACCGTTTCCGATAATTACTGGTAGAGTTGTGGCCTTTGATGGCTTTGAAAAGGCTAAAGTTAATATAGGTTTAGTGTTAAAAATATATTTTCAATGTTATAACACAAAAGGTAAATGTTTAGATTTAAATATTTCTTTTTTTTTTTTTTTTTTTTTTTTAAGCCTATCCCTAATTATTATCGTAAACAATGACTTGAAACCGCCAACTCATTTTTCTGTCACAGGTCACAAATAATTATATATTGTCATCTCCAAGGTTTGCCTCGTGGGTTTTCTCCGGGTCCTCCGGTTTCCTCCCACTGCTAAAGACCCCTACGCGCAAGCGAATTATTGAAATAAAATTAAACCATATGTTAGTCCCAAAATGACCTAGTTTGTGTTAAGTGGACGATAAACCCCATTTCTCTCTCTCTCTCCAAGGTTTGTTCATTCATCCATCTATTTGTCACTATACAGGTCAGTTTATTAGCGAAGTGTTTTTGTCTACAGTTGTTATTGACAAGGAGTCTGAGCTATGCATCAATGATTTGTAGAGCTATGGCTCTTACCATTGAATAGTCGTTTGGATGGGATGAAAAAAAAACCGAGGTCCAGTGTACACATTGGCATGCATGTAAAAAGAGAGAGAGAAATAGGGTTTATTTAACGTCCACTTGACACAAACTAGGTTATTTCCGGACTAACTCATGGTTCAATTTTATTTCTATAATTCGCTTGCCCGTAGGGGACTTAAGCAGTGGGAGGAAACCAGAGGACCCGGAGAAAACCCACAAGGTTGGACAGGCGACCCTACTCCTTGTCACTTGCAACCGAGGCATCGAAACCACACCAGTTGACTCAATGCCAGACCTTATGATACAGCACGCATGTGCTAACCATTCGGCCATCAAAATTATCCAATTCAGAGTTGCCTTTAATTATTTTGCTAGTTACTTCCCCTGCCCTTAAAATCAAAGTTTTTCAAATTTATTTTTCCGAACTTGCTGCAGAAATTTGTTTAAAATATTAAAAGGCGTAACAGCTTTAAACAGCTGAGCTGCTGGTGGGTGTATGTTTTGTTGCTTGGCAACCCCTCTTTAAATTATTATAGTTGTAGATTTAGTTTTTCATCAGTTTTCTTCGGTAAGTTTTAAAAAGTTCAAAACAAGATTTTGTTAAATCAGTAGACTATTATAAGACATTTGGGAAATATTTCGCCTTTTTTTTTGTCAATTGTTTCCATTATTCTTAGTTTGTCTTCATTTTGAGTGAAGCCGGTTCATTATACATGTTGGCCGGGGACTGTACAGTGCAATGGATGCTTACGGCTGCCCCCATCGGCCACCCCACTCTGGATATATTCTCTTGATATGTCTGTTTGATATTCATTATTTTCAATGTCTGAATGTCTTGTCCTAGGGTTTGTCTTGTGGTGAGGTCCTCCTGTACCTACTGTTAACATGCTCGTTGCCATGGTTTTATTATCAAATAATTCCGTGTGTTGGGTCATAAAGTAATTTCTATTTATAGTTTTTGTAAAACTATTTATTGTGGGTTTTTTTTTTCTATTTCAGGTTTTCTTTGATTTAATGCGTGAAATTCGGTCCCGTAAAATGGACGCTAGTAAACAGAATAACGGCAAACAGCGAAAAAACAAAGATCGTAAGAAGACGAAATGCGTTATTTTGTAATGGAAGGACATCATTACATCATAATAGGCTTCAACCATTTTCTTTTTCTACATCGTGCAATGAGAGGTGTTTATCATTCAAACTATGAACATTATATATGTAATAATGGCTGTATATTATACAGCATAAAGTGATGACTAATCTGTTTTTGTGCTCATCACATTTGATGATGTCACGATTTTCTGTGATGACATCACAGTGACTAATCAGTTTTTGTTATAACATCATATATATGTAGCTTTTGGAAGATGTTTCTGATGTGGCAGAATTTGGAGAAATGAAGATTAGAATCTGGAAAAAGGTTGAAATATCCAACTTTTTCAGTGTGAAGACGTTTTTTTTTTTATATACTGACTCCTGCGTCAAACATTTTAGGATAGGAATTGTTATATTTTTTTTTATGAAACAAATTATAAAATGAATCGGTGCTTTTCAGTTTTAACGTCTATGAAAAAAAAAAAAAAATCTTTGGTGGATTGATGAAATTTCAGAGTATTATTCCTAAATTAAAAATATTTGTTGATATGATTGACTTGTTATCTGCTGGAATCTTTCTCTAACTATCAGTGGACACAAATACTGTCAGTGAATCAAAATAATTCTTATTTCAAATTACAATGAAGATGGTGGTTCAATATTACAAGTGCAAAATATTTTTATTTTAAAGAACCATTTTAAAGGGATTTTTTTTCTGTGTATTTTTTTTTAATGTCTTTCTTGTTATATTAAATGTATGCAATTGTTTGTTGATGTAGCTTTATATTATAAAAGCTGATAATTTATTCTTTTTTGACTTATGGCAAATACCATGTATATATATATATATAATAACGCAGATATCTCCATCGTCAATAGACAACCATTTAATATGCACGCTGATATATACAAATGTGTTCTATAATGGGCTGGTCTACTGATAAATCAATTTACTTAAAAAAAAAAAAAACGAAAAGACAGTCTGCTTCTTTTCTTTCTCTTTTTATTTTTTGACGAAAATGTTTGATTTTTTAACGTATCACTCAACATTCTAAGTTTTTCAAGAATATTTTGATTTGTTATAATGAAATGGTTAAGTCAATTAGGTCAAAAAAATTAGGTCAAACCTATACTTGTTCATTTGAACTAATGTGTCCGATACTCATTAATTAATCGTTTAACACGGGTTAAGTTAATAACGCCAAACCTATACTTGTTAACTTTATCTGATGTGTTAATTAATTGTTTAACACAGGTTAAGTTAATACCGCCAAGCCTTTACTTGTTAACTTGATCTGATGTGTTAATTAATCATTTAACACAGGTTAGGTCAATGACACCTATGCTTGTTAACTTGATCTGATGTGTTAATTAATCATTTAACACAGGTTAGGTCAATGACACCAAACCTATGCTTGTTAACTTGAACTGATGTGTTAATTAATCATTTAACACAGGTTAAGTCAATGACACCTATAGGCTATACTTGTTAACTTGAACTGATGTGTCGGATACTTGTTAATTAATCATTTATTTTTAAAATGGTTGTTAAAACTTAATAGAAGCAGACTTTCCTTTTTATACAAAAAATTTAAAAAAAAAAAAACAGTAGACAACTCACCCATTTCTTCTCTATATGTCGTACTCGCGAAATATAAAAAAAAAAAAAGCGATGTCTTAGCTTTATAATTCATCCGGTACCCATCATACCTACCCTAGTATTATTGTATGATTTTATATTATGAAGCCAAAAAAATCCCAATCCTGGTGCAAGAGGAAAAGTAGTAGTAGTTGCATTAGTCGTTGAGCAACTTCTAGAAGATGGGGGAGGGGCGGATAACATCCTTTTGATAGAGCTCTTCAGAAGACGTAGTTTCATTTGTTGTTGAAACGCTGCAGTTGCCTTGATTAGTCCGAACGGTTTATTGATAGTTGAAAGGGTTGTATAATAATGAAGTTATTGTTTAATGTGTAATATTGTACAAGAATTAGACAAGAAACGAAGTTGGAGATTAAGATCGCAAGTGCTTTACATTTCCAACTCATTTCACAAAACACATGATTACCTCCCTTGGTCTATAAAATTATAAAAAATTGAAGATAAGAGGTTAGACAAGGTATAATATATTATATAGAATTTCAAGTTTTATGAAAGTGTCAAGTATAGTCAGTGTTATAGGGGGTGCTCGATTGTTTATCCAGAAAGTTCCGAATCGACGGAATTGTAATCAAATGATTCGTAATTCAGTCCCATCACAGTTCTCTCAGTTCCGCCAACGGAAGTGGTGTGAGTTGAATCTTTAGTTATCAACTGTCATGACGGGTTGAGATTTTTTTTTTTTTTTTTTATGATTGTCTGCAGTTTTGGGATTGAGATAATTCAATTCTTGAACTTGAACTTGAGTAGTCCATAGTTTAGACAAGGGAGATAATAAATATAAAATATCAGGAATAATAAAAATGTCCCGTATGTTTAGTATAGTCAGTATTTTAGTCTAGACAAGGGAGATAATAAACAATGTCCAGTATATTCTGTATACCATAGTCAATGTTTTAGTTTAATCAAGGGAGATAATAAAATATATACAATATCAGGTATAATAAAGGTTGCCAGTATATCCTGTAGCTATGTGTAAATGTACATAATTATATTATATTTTATATGATAATATTCTCTTAGAATTAAAAGCATTATGTTGCTCAACCAGCCTGTATTTAGTTCGTGTTAGATTAGTTTTGAGTAATATTATTTGTAAATACAACAATATGGTACTGATCCCTTATATATATAAACCCTAGTTACACTTCCTCAGCCTTCTTTCAAAAAATATACCAATGACCAAACCTCTTAGTTATTCATGGTCTTTATAAATAAATAACTCACTCAATTCACATGTGCAAATGTTTTGTTTAAATTTTAAAACTTAAAAATGTAGAACTAAAAACTTTTGAGAAGAAAAACTAAATGCTTTGTGTTGTTTTTAAAAAAATTTCCCAGAAAAACTGAAGGCCAAATTTTTAATAGAAATTCCATTCTCAGTGGCCTATATCATTATTTACAGAAGGAAATGAACCAATTCGGCTGTTTTCCCATTTATTGGTTTTCCAGTTATTCAAACTTTTGAGCCACCATTTATTAACAAGTTAATCTAATATTTTGTCAAATTGCCACCAAGAATTGATTCAAGTATATAAAGTACCACTTTATAGAATAAGAGATTGTAGGTTATCAACTAGAATCAAATAATACCTGCCTCAGCATTAATATATTCATTTCCTGTCAGTGTTCATGTTATAATGTAAAATACTTCTGTTTGCATGACCAATATTATATTCAGTTATTTATGGCTAAATCTATTTCTTAAGGCCAGCTCAATTTTTGTCAAGGTCGCTGAGATGTAAATAAGGTTAGGGAACGTGATTTTGGGCGAGATTGTAGGTTTGGGTTAGGGTAAGCATTTGGGCTATGTCCAGGGTTAGGGTTGGGATTAGTGCTAGCCCTGTTTACATCTCGTGACATATGATGAAAAATTGAACTGGCCTTATCATTTAGCACTAACCGTTATTTATGCTATATACCACAGTTCAAGTGAGGTTATTAGTATAAATACTCTTATTTAAAATGTATTATGTAAGAGCTAAATCAGCCTATTGCGGATCTTTTTCTGGCTTCAAATGTTATTATTTATATGTTTATTAACATGACAGTCCATAATCAACTCTCTGAGCCAAGGCTTGGCTCAGATTTTAAGTAGATTAGAACACCATGGCCATTTACGAGTTTTTCATGATAAAATAGATAATCTATGCTACATTTTGTCAAAACTTCAACAACTCATAACTTTGCGCAATAAAGTAACTTGACTGAAACATTCAATATCTTCATTTTTCATTGTCTATTTTTGAACTATAGCAAGAATAGTGAGCTATTTATCTAAATTTTACACAACTGGCAAAATATAACATGACATCATTATCATTTAGATGAAGCCCTGTTTTATATCGATTCCCTGGTTGTCGTGACAAGGAGTAGGGTCGCCTGTCCAACCTCGTGGGTTTTCTTCGGATCCTTCGGTTTCCTCCCACTGCTATATAAAGACAACTACGCTCAAGCAAATTATTGAAATAAAATTGAACCATCTTAGTCCCAAAATGACCTAATTGTGTCAAGTGGAGGTTAAACCCCATTTCTCTCTCTCTTTCTCTCTCTGTTTTTTTAGAAAGAGTTATGCCATTTAATTTATAGATTGTATAGACTCGAACTGGACTAGGATTGACCTATATTAGAAAAAATACCTATAATTAAAATTAAACCAGGTGTTATGGAAAGAGTGAGCATACCCTACCATGAGCATGGCATGTACCACTACTGTGAATGATTTCTACATATACTACCATATAGTTTACAAAATATAACTTTGCTTAATCCATGAAGTGACTTTGGATGATCTTTATTTAAAGTTACAATTTCATATTTTTAAGTTATATTTTTAAAATGTATTAAAATAAAGCCCTAAAATAGATGGTATCTATAAACAGTCCTACCTTGTCAAAGAATAATCCTATTAATACTATAATTCACTATTGCCAGTTGAGAAATTTTCAAAAATATCATTTTCAACTTCAAATTCAAACGTTTGAAGTTAGCTATTCCATGGTGGGGAATAGGAAAACAAGGGAGGTAATTGTGTTATTATTTCCACTGTGAAGATTTTTAAGTGTGAGAAAGATAACCTATGATCCTATAATAGTGAGTTGACAACCTATTGAGCAAAAGACATAGAAATAATTATGTTTTGACTTTCTTAGAAAATATAAAATTGTAACTTTAAACAAACTGTTCTATTTTATATCAATTTCCCATCCACACCAAGATGTATATTGAATGAGATATGGATATAAATTTGTCAATTCAACCCCTCTAGAACTATGACTAAAGGTCCATTAAATTGGCGGTTTGTAATTAGATTTGTGGTAAAACAATGTCTTTTAGAACATCATGCATTAATTATAGCTGCCTGAAAATAGAGCACACAACCTGAAATAAGTCACACAACCTGAAATAGGGTACCCAACTGCAATGGGGTTTCCAACCTGAAATAGGGTAACCCACCTGAAATAGGGTACCCAACCTGAGTGAAACAAGGTACCCAAATGTCTGCAGGTCGACTTCAGATAGAGTAAATAAGGGTGATCAGCTCTCTAAATGATCTTAAGGTCAGTTTATACCAACTGAACTGATTTAAATCAAATTGCTTCCATTAACTCTGGGGTATTAATTATATTATTCTTGTTTATTTGTGTTTAGATGATCAGCTTTATTCTAGGCCAGAATAACATTAAAAAGTTTATGATTCCTCCATTGCCCATCGTATTGAAGTGTATATCAAAATGAACAACACTAACCCTTACAAATTTTATTTATATATTTTGAAATGGTTAAATTATTCAGTGTATTTTACCATTAAGTTCATCTATTACATGTTCACACATTGCTTGTTATGGGGATTGCTGCACGATTTGCACCATGGTAAATCAGGCAATGGAAATGGAACTTTGATGCACCCCACTCCGCCTTTGTCCTGGTGCCCTAAGCATATGCATGTTTTGCGTTTTGTTTTTTTTACTTGGTTAATTCAGGGGTGGGTATAATGATTATTCTAATCTTTATCATTGAACAATCTAATTAAAATATAGAACTATATTTCGTTTTGTTTTTTATACTTTCGATGGCCTACACTAAAGACAAGTAAAATCGAAATTTTGAACTATAAAAACGAAACGAAATTGGATCGGTGTTTTAATCAGATTGATCATTGAGGGAGAGAAATGAGGTTTAACGTCCACTCGACACAAACTAGGTCATTTCAGGACTAACACATGGTTCAATTTTATTTCTATAATTCGCTTGCACGTAGGGGTCTTTAACAGTGGGAGGAAACCGGAGGACCCGGAGAAAACCCACGAGGTTGGACAGGCGACCCTACTCCTTACCACGTACAACCGGGGAATTGAAACCCCTCCAGTTGACTCAATGGCAGACCGTATGATACAGCGCGCGCGTGCTAACCATTCGGCCATTCACCCCCCCCCCCCCCAGATTGATCATTGAATTAAGTCACACGAATAACAAAACCCCATATAAACATGTATATTTCCTTCTAACTGCAGGGATGGAGCAGATATGTCCTGTCATTGAGTCAATTGGCGTGGGTTTCGATTCCAAGCTTGTACGTGACCAAGAATACGATCACCTGCCAAAATCTTCGGGGGTTTTTTCCCCGGCATGTGCAAGCAAATTATTTGAATAAATTGTACCATATGTTAGTCCTGAAATGACTTTGTTTATTTCGAGTGGACCTTAAACCCAATTTCTCTCTCTTTCATGAAACCATCTGGAAGGTTGTTGAACACATGAAAATATATTTTCACTTTAAAGAAAGGCAGATATCGTGAAGATGCATTAGGCAGTTCTTCCAATACTAGTTACATTATGGGAGATTCGATAACGAGTTGGCAGTTCTCACTATAATAATTAAAAAACTAGAAAATGTATAGGCAATTTGCTGAAAACAGTACGTTAAACAGCGTAGTTTCGATTATCCATTTAATCGTTTAATCGAGAAGGAAAGTTATGCAGTAAATCGAATCACAATCCACTTAAGATCGCAGGCTAGCGATGCCATCTAGAGTTGATTATGGTCTGGATAAGTTAATTAATACTTTAGAAAACATTTCAGGCCTAAAGAAAGACCTGCAATAGACAGATTTAGCTCTTGCATAATGTATGTTTAATTGAAGTTGGGTTTTTTTCTGACCCAAGTTATGAGTGTTGTGTTGGAAGATGTGGCATAGATTGCCGTTTATCGTAGCAACGGTACTCGACAAACGAGACTTAGTCTCGGTTATCCATTTTACCGTTAAATTTTCAAATAAAGACCAGCATTTCGGAGATTTGACTCTTACATAATGTATCTTAATTTTAATCAGTGTACAAATAAAAAAAAAACCTAAATGAATTAAACCTTAGTGTAATATCATGGGTATCTCAGCACCCCCTGCTGCTCCCTTCTCTCTCAAAACATCATTTCATTCAAGTGTGTTGTTGTGTTTATTTTAATATTTAGGCCTATTTATATCACGCGACAGTGTACAATATGCCTTATATAATTCGTATTTACTTTTAAACATAAATATTGTTCATCATCATTTGGTATCAAAACTACCCAGTATATCAGGGGGGTGATACGGAATTAGTAACACCTGATGATAGCGAGGTAGCCTACTGATGCTATATTCTGGGCCCTGTTTCTCGAAATCTTAACTAAAGATAAAATCCAAATTTTAGTAGATAAATCAGTTTCGATTGGCTAAGCACTAAAATCAATCTAATATTATCCAATCGAATTACTAAAATTTGGATTTTATCTTAGTTAAAATTTCGTGAAACAGGTCCCTGGCTATCAATCTGATTAAAACACAGATCCTATTTCGTTTCGTTTTTTATAGTTTAAAATGTTGTTTTACTTGTCTTTATGCACACTGATCCGCAGTGAATATTTGCTTGGCCGCGACAATCACTGATAAGGATGACATTGATGCGGCTTAATGAGCTAGAAATATTAACTTTTTTCCTGCGACAAATTAAATTCTAAAACATTTTTTGTATATATTGGAAAAATAATTAAAGGCGTTTGACGTATTTGTAGGTAAAAATTATTTCCGATTTAGTGTAAATGGGTATTAAATTGACTAAAATGCAGCATTCTCTCCGAAGCAGTTATGTCTTATGTAAACAATGCACGCGCCATTCAGCCAATGATTCACACCGCGTGCTGTGACAGCACGTGTTAAGGCAGTCATCTATGACAGAGATATTATACGAGACTCGTAATTCTCTGTGAAACAGATTGGTCTTTATGTAGTATAGGCCATACCGCTTTTGTGTTGGCCATCGAAAGTATAAAAAATAACGAAACGAAATATAGATCTGTATTTTAATCAGAGCAATAAGACTATTTGCTTGTATTAATTGTAATAATTAGGGTTTCACACTGCGTAGCTTGTGTGAAACACTATTGTTTTTGTTAAAATTATTAGGGTTTCACACTGCGTAGCTTGTGTGAAACACTATTGTTTTTGTTAAAATTATTATTCTTATTATTATTATTCTTCTTTTGTTTTGAGTAGATCTCAGCAACTGATTGTCGGATCGTTACGATTTCTTCGGTTTTATCGGAAAAGTGGGTGTGACTTAGAGGATAAAGCTATTTTGAACGTTCTGCGACAATGCGAAATGTCCGAAATCACCGAAGCTATCGTTTTTAGAAATATTGCAGTAATTTTAACAATAATCATTGGATTTTAACTTTCGATGCATTTTGGCATAGCCGGAGACGGGGCACATAGCTACGCTACTTTTGATTTTTGATTTTCGGCAAATCTTCGCAGATATTAGGCGCTAAATTTAGAAAATTTATATTTTTACAAAAAACTTTTTTATTTATGAATATTTTTTAATCGTGTTTTACACAAATATAACGAGTCCTCTGACTTGGGCAAAAATGTGAAAATTTTTTGTCTCGGTAATTTTCCTTGGCCCCCATTGGCTAATTCAGTTTTTCAGTCCTAGATTAATTATTTATTGTTCGATTTGTATAAAACAAAGTTCATATGCCCCGTTGTCTCAATTGTCATTTTTTTTGTTACCAATAGTGTTATCTGTCGGCACCGGAAGTGGCGTAAATTGACAAAAAACTACAATTTTGACAGTTAGGTACCATTTTTCGAAAGCAAATATTATTTTTTTCAAATCTGGTATAACTGAAATTGTGCGCCCTTTAAAGGCGCACAAAATGTTGGGACCATTTTTTTTAATTTCGATTCCGTTTTCGGGCTATTTCGATTAAAAGGTGAAAAAAGGTGTAAAATTAAGCTATTTACAACCCATCCAGCGTTTTCATATTTTAAAATATTACTTCGTAACTTTCATAAACTCGTAGCAATAATCTATACGGAGAGAATGTATGTGAAAATTAATTTGTAATATGCGCAGTTGCCGAGAAATGGGCAATTTTGCATGAGTCACTTTTTACGCTAGTTTGCCTGTAAAAGAGTCAATTATTATTCGATTTTCATAAAAGTGACACCATTTGATGTGTAATGTCAATTTTAACTAGGTCAAACCAATTTAACATTTTCAATATCACCGGAAATGACGTAATTTGGGCAAAAATTGTATTTATAGCCTTCGAAACCAGTAATTTATTCAAATGAGTCATATTTGTTATTTGTTTAAAATTTTGATATTTGATTCAAATCAACTAATACAATGAACCCTTACGATCATATAGATATCACAAAATGGTTTCTAACTTGTTCAGTTGCGGAGAAATAGGCAATTTTCAACAGGTCACTTTTTAAGGTTTTTTTGTCAATAAAAGTGTCAATTATTATTCGATTTTCATGAAATTTTCACTGTGTGATACATAATGCCATTTACGATATCATACAAGTAATTTAAGATTTTCATTATCACCGGAAGTAACGTCATTTTGGCAAAAACTGTATTTTTAGCCTTCAAAACAGATATTTTATTCAAATGAATCAGATTTGTAATGTTTTTAAAATTATGATATTTGATTCCAATCAACAAATAGAATGAACTCATTCGATCATACAGATACCTCAAAATGGTTTCTAACTTGTACGGTTGCAGAGAAATAGGCGATTTTCTACAAGTCATTTTTCAAGGTTTTTGGTCTATAAAGGTGGCAATTATTATAGGATTTACATAAAATTTTCAACATGTGATGATGCTATTTCTGATTTCATAAACCAATTTAACATTTTCATTATCACCGGAAGTAATGTAATTTTGACAGGATCACTGACATGTAGCAAATGAATTGATTGCTGGATTTGGTTGTTTCTGCGTCCATTTTATTTCATGTGTGCAATGCTTATGTGGAAACCTGTTTAACGGTTTCATTGGTACCGGAAGTGACATAAGTTCAAGGGTAACGTGGCACCGGTGAAACCCGTCATTACTGCTTCGCAGTTCTAGTTATTCTTATTATTATTATTCTTCTTTTGTTTTGAGTAGATCTCAGCAACTGATTGTCGGATCGTTACGATTTCTTCGGTTTTATCGGAAAAGTGGGTGTGACTTAGAGGATAAAGCTATTTTGAACGTTCTGCGACAATGCGAAATGTCCGAAATCACCGAAGCTATCGTTTTTAGAAATATTGCAGTAATTTTAACAATAATCATTGGATTTTAACTTTCGATGCATTTTGGCATAGCCGGAGACGGGGCACATAGCTACGCTACTTTTGATTTTTGATTTTCGGCAAATCTTCGCAGATATTAGGCGCTAAATTTAGAAAATTTAAATTTTTACAAAAAACTTTTTTATTTATGAATATTTTTTAATCGTGTTTTACACAAATATAACGAGTCCTCTGACTTGGGCAAAAATGTGAAAATTTTTTGTCTCGGTAATTTTCCTTGGCCCCCATTGGCTAATTCAGTTTTTCAGTCCTAGATTAATTATTTATTGTTCGATTTGTATAAAACAAAGTTCATATGCCCCGTTGTCTCAATTGTCATTTTTTTTGTTACCAATAGTGTTATCTGTCGGCACCGGAAGTGGCGTAAATTGACAAAAAACTACAATTTTGACAGTTAGGTACCATTTTTCG